AAACTTTGATTTAAGGCAGAAGAAATGTAAATTTTCAGTTTCCACGAACTTTCAAGCTAAAGAAAAAACCCAACTTTGGCGGCCATTTTCTCGTATTTTTACCTCTGAAACCAGATGACCCTCATCTCCTTCAATCACACATATCTCGACTTCTATTCAACATAGATGAATACTATTTTCACCCAAAAACACGAAAAATGGACAGGACATAAGATGATATCATCAACTCCGTGTGTCCAAATATTGACGAGAGCTTGATTCCACCACGTGGTGGCACATATGATCAATCCTCCATGTTGTATTTGGTTCGTGAACGCCTGTCGTTGTCTGTGTGGACACTCTATAACAAAGAATAAACTGTCGAAACATTCACTTGTATATCTTTGGAAAAATGTTTTTTTTTCTGTCATTCGGCAAGTCAGGGCTTGTCAACTTTTGTGGGCGGTGTGACCCACTTATAGTGGGCGATTTGGTCATTCTGGTGGGCAGTGGTGGGGATCACCCGGCCAGTGGTGTGGCATCCTTCAGTCTCAGAAGACTATGGATCTCCACCGTAGGAGAAGTCTCAAGAGCAGCGCTTGCTGTGGCTGAACAGGCCCACACGGAAATAACAGTTTAGTTTTAGTAGAGGTTTTACGGCGCTCACAACTGCATAAGGTCATATGAGCGCCAGAAGATTAGAGGTGTTATAAGCGAGTAACAAACATAACAATGAAGGAGTGGAGATAAGGACGATAGATGTTTCGTGAGGAAAGAAGAAGCAAACCACACCAGAGCACCCGTCAACCATCCACAGAATGGCAGTCTCTGTTGCTGTGGCTGCACTTGTGTGTGGTGTCTTCCTGCGTTGGTAGCCTCTGGCTTTCGGCGACGGCGTTTGTCCTCTGCAGCCGGACAGTACTAGTGATAGATATTATTAAATCTTATCGCCTACTTGGAAATACATGGAGGTGGGCGTTAAAAAAGTTTTAGCCTCTTAAAAGTTCATGGTGGCAAAAGTGGGCCCTGGCTATCAAAAAAAAGGCTGACAAGCACTGATTTAAGGCATGTGTGTGTGGTAAGTTTGAAAGGTAAAACAGAGTTTGGCGGTTTCCATTTTCTTCAATTGCTTTGAGTTATTACGCTTCAAGTGAAACTAAAAGCAAAGCGTTTTAGAATAGTATTAGAGGGGTCTTAGTAATAGATAATAGATAACATTTGTTTAGCGCAAATCCCCGCTCAACAGCAAGCTCTATGCGCTTCACAATCTATACTATTGCCCCAGCAGACCTGAGAGCATTCTGAAACAACCTCAACTTCCTGGGAAGCATACAGTGCAAGCAGCCATTTATAGGCGCTAAAACACTAACATACTGACACGATCTTTCGCTGTCTATGACCGGGTACCAATTCCCACCTGTGTGAAGTGAGGAAAATTCGTGTAAAGTGCCTTTCCCAAGGACACAACGTCGGGCCCGCAGCTCGAACCCCCGAACCCGCAACCTCACGATTATGAGTCGGTAGCTTCACCACTAGGCCACCGATGTTTTACACCTATGGTAGTGAAAGCGCTTCAGGTCGAACAAGTCTCTTACGAATACCATGGGATACAAAAGTACTGCCTGCTGTTCGATTTATGATTTAACAGTTATCTAAGCTCAAAAACAAAAGTGAAAACTACTTTGAAAAGTACGTACTTTATCCCGACTACATCTATTATCTATTTGTGGTGGCCGACTTTTGCTATTCAAAAGGCTTTTTAATGGCTGCACTGATCGACATGCGGTTTTCGACAAAAAATTCTTTAAAATATTCTCCAGATCATGGCGCCCTTGGTTTTTTTCAGTTTTGAGACAGTTTTGCTGCAAAAAGCTAAATTTCTTTATTTCGCCGATCGCTTTTGTAGGCCAACACTTCGTCTCTGTAATTTTAGAAAATCGGAAGTGATATTTCGCGAGGTGCATTTTGTTTTGAGAGTGTACATCTAGACTTTCCATTTTTTTTGCATCTCTCAAGATTTATTGCCTCATTCCAGTAGAGTGTAAATATAGTAGGTCAATGACTTTCAGTTGATGTTAATGCACCGATCACTCCTTTCATCGAAAGGGGGCCCAGCTAGTATGTTTTACACGAACAATGACGTTTCCTTTTATACAGCTAATAATCTGTTTGGCTTATCTTAAGGTTCAAGGGAGCTACAACTTTGTTGTCTCATGATGACAAAGTACAATAAAGATCTAGTAAGCTAGGTCGTCTGTTGAATCACTGAATTGACGACTCTCTCTCTCTCTCTCTCTCTCTCTCTCTCTCTCTCTCTCTCTCTCTCTT